ACTAATTTAAAAATGTTAACAATGAATTATTTATCACAGGATTTACAGAAACTCAGAATTTTTAATGAATTCGGTCATTTAAATTTTTTAGACAAGTGTTTGAGCTTATGATTAATTAATGAATCGCAATCTGTATAGAGACAAAATTAATAAAAACAGTTTTGTGTATATGCAATTTGATATAGTTTAATTAAAAATAACTGTAAAGTAGTAATATGATACGTTGTAAATAGTTTTTATTTAGATAAAACCCAAAAAGTAAAATAATGATTTATAATGTTTATAATAATATAATAACATTTCTACAAAGAACTAAACTTTATAACCTTATATAATTATATTGTCTTTTTTTTCGTTTTCTAKTATATGAAAATCTTGTATTAATTAAAATAAATTGAGCAGGATTCATTAATTTACATTATATACCAATAACTTTGATTCATGCATTAGTTAAAAGTGGTTTCAAATTCGGGTTAGTTGTTTAGACATATAAGTCTAACAGATAAAATTTAAAAAGTGCAACGACGTTCTTTTGTAAAAATGATTATACTATTAATTTGTCTGATATTCCAATTTCTAAGGCGCAAAGTTATTATATAAAGACATTATTGAAATCTAAACGAAAATGCATGGATATTTTTTTTTGTATAACTTGATTGATTTTTGACTATTCAAAAATGATCACGTTGATAGTCTAAACTCTAAATTTACTACAAATTATACAATTTAATGTTTCTCAAGTTGAATTCCGAAATTTTCGTTGTTCTATTTTGAGCCGCAGGCAAACTAATTTGTTCTTAGTAGAATAACAAAGTAACTTAATTATAAACTATGATTTAAATATTTTTGAATTTTCARAAATTTTATACACAAAAAGTCAAAATTAATTATGAAGTCCTAAACTTATAATAAAGCATTAGCTAATCAATTTATATTGTATATTCTTATTTACTCCATAATATTATGTATATTTGTTTCAGTTTAACATTGTACTAAGTAATTTACACTTACCTTTCGCAGGCGTAAATTATTTAATATATAAATACTAAGTTATTTATTATTAAATTTTTGGTCAATGAAAATTAAACGTTTTTAACTAATATTCAAATGTTATTGAATATTAATGTATATTGTTATAAAGTGATTTGAAAAATAGATTAAAAACMTAATCAGTTTATTTAATCCCTAAAAACTATTTTATGGTCATAGATTGTTCACTATTGGTGTGAAATATACTAAGAAAATATCTTAAMAGTTTGACTGTTAGCGTTCATGGAACTAATTTTTCTTAATATATTTATAATAGCTATCTAATCTAAATAATATTAAAGTATGATATTTTAATTATTGTTCAATGACTTAAATACAATATTATAGTTCTACCATAATTTTTATGAAACATAAAATCTTATTTACATATAATTATTGTTGAATTTTTTCGGTATTATATACATGTATGTAATATAATAATTCAAATGTAAATCGTAATCTCATTACTTAAAACTACTGTTACATTATTTTCGTGAAAGTCAGATTACATAGATGAAATTGTGGCTGCCATTCTATAGAACGGATACTAAAATTATATTTTTTTTACATTTTTATATATTTATTTCTCGCTTTCTATTAATTTTATTCAATGAAATTTATGTGGAATACTTATTGGAAATCCATTTGTGGAAAGTGGAAGTAAATATTATAAAATTCTTTTGAACTTTATTCTGTAATATTTTATACAGAGCTCTCAAAAAATTATTTGTAAATAATACTCATACTTTGTTTTGTCTTATTTTTCAATAATTAATTATTAACATCGTTGTATTCTTAATAACATATTAATATCAACATGATATTTTCCATTACTTGTTGACTCTCATAAATTATGAAACTTCATTATTTTAGCGAACGTTTATTTATTTTCCATTAACATGTGGAACAATTCAAATTTCAAACATAAGATATATCATTCAAACACATAGTTTTAGTTGTTACATTTTTAAAAGGAAAATAGATTATTCACGCTGTTATACCTACAGACTACATTTTATTTTGTGACGAAAAATATTAAGGTAGAAGTATAATAATATTTATTTGGCTTGAAAAAGCGATAAAATAACTTAAATGGAAAAAAACAAACGGACTTTAGACAGTTTGTATATGTATATTGTATATATGTATATTTTTAAATTAAAAATTAGTTTCGCATCTTTAAGACCTAGGCCTCTGATGGTGTGGAACTGTCGGGTTGAATAGTTCCATTATTGACTTTTCAGGTATGTTGTATTCTCTGGATCTTAGTCTGCTAAAATCACCGTTCACATCCACGTATGGTCTTTCCATCTCCAAGTTGGGTTGCGCACCTGAATCCAATAACTGAAAAAATACACACATTTTTCTTTTAATGAAAATAACAAACAATAGATAGGAAAGTAATTTAATGCATCACAATTTTCTATAACCAAGTACACGATTATACCTAAATATGTAAAATGTATAAACTTAAATATGAGCTCTTTAATGGATTTTTAGTTGAATATTAAATACGTTTAGTTATGATTATTTTAAATATAAGCTGTATATTATAATACTAAGTAAGTAGCATGAAAATTGAATAGATGAGCCTTTAATGTTAGGCAGTATATTTAACCGTTTACTCGTATATATAACTATAWTWWAKWA